GCCCCACAGGAAGAAATTGAAAGAGCTCTGTGTGTGAGCAGGAGGAGCAGCCCCTGGGCACTTCTACAGTGCCTGCTCTGCCTGCCCTTCTCCTACCTGCTTCTCCTTTGGTTTCAGCGCCATGCTGGGAGGGTCCAAGAGGAACGTCGCTGCTTCCCCATCATTCTCAAAGGAGAACTGGACCTCTATGTTCATGGGGGAGTTGTTGAGGATGGTTATTTTCTCCGAGTTGCTGGGACAGTTCTGGGCCTTGTACCTGTCCACAAAAGGGGAAAAGGCTGCAGAGCAGACTGCTGCCTTTGCCACACACAGAGGAGAGCACCGTGTGCACCTGAGGAAGCAGTGCTGGAAGACCCTACTCTAACAAACAAGTGAGGGAAATGGATCCCAGTCAGGGGCATGGCCGTGTGCTCAGCCTGGCCTTACTCTGATGCCTTCCCCCAGACTTGGTGCCTCCAGCCCAGAAGCCTGATGATGCTCAGGCCACTTCAAGAGTTTTTAATACAACGTAAATTCAAAGGTGCCTAGAAAAATAACAGTACACCAGGCACGTGAGTTCTTTCCCCTTCTTCCTTGGGGTGCCTTCCCTGCAGGGTATAAAGAGGCTTTTGGAAAAAGAGTTTAGCTAATCTCTTTCATAAAAGTCATGAAAGTGCTTTGGATTTCATGGGTTAGCTCAAAGTCTGAGAAAGAAATATAAAGCATCAATTCCCAAGAGGAATGCAAAAAGACAACAAATGACCCTTCTCTCAGGTGTGGAAATTATTTTGGAGTGAAAGGGTTAAAGAGACAAACAGAGATCCCAGACCATCTATCAAACTGGCTAAAGATGGTCTGTTTTTTAAATTATTTCAATTTCATTTCCTTGGGGTGTCAAAACAGACCTAAGTTCTCCAGAGCTTCCATGGAGACAAGAACTTAATGTTAAGTATTATTTTTTTAAAAAAGTGACAGTAAAAGTAGAAGTACACAATAGCTTCAATGGCAACATGTTTAGGTAGACTTTACCCAGCAGTGAGAATGCAATGTCCTTACAGGAAAATGTAATTCCTGCTGTACATTCCTCACAACACCCACTGGCAGGTCAACCATAAAATCTTATATAAATAATTACAGATCAATGAAAGGTTTACAAAACCATCTACAGAATAACTGCTTGATCAGGTACCTGCAGAGCTCAAAGCACTTCAAAACCCCCCATAAAGTTCATTTCCTACGGGTTGAAGCTGACATGTGGGGGGACACAAAAGTTGTCCCCCAAGTCACCTTTGGACTGGCAGCAGCATGCAGCTCTGGCCACCAAGGCACTCACTGGGCAGGCAGAGCAGCTCCTCCAAGGCTCATTTGCCTCTTATCTGCTCAAGTTCACACATCTGTGGTCCTTCAAACCCATGTGTCTCCCAGGACTCTGCTGGGGACTGCCCTGGATTGTGCCACCAGGACACCCTGTTCTCCCTAAGAGTGTCCACAAAAGTGCAAAGCCCAGCAGGCAGCACATACCAGTCTCTTGATTTCCCACACAGCAACGGTCCAAAGTGGAATTGCTTTGTGCTCTCAACATACTCCTTAAAGACTATTTCATCTTCCTCCATGGTCTCCCTCCACTGTGGAAACACCACCCTGGGCAGAAAAGGGGGGAAGGAGGAGCTATGAGTTGCTCCAACTAGGAAATGTAGTCAGAAAGCCAAAACCCTTCCTGGTGGCTGAGGCACCATCTGCCTTGCCAGCTCCAGCACAGGAGGAGGTGCTGGGTGACCTCAGGCAGCACGATCTGCCCAGGCAGAAGCCCCAGGGGTCAGCCCTGGCTGTGAGTTCAGGGGCAGCTGTGCTGTGGGGGCTGCCAGGGGCCAGCCTTACCGTGGGTCCTGGCTGATGCTGGGGTACAGGCCGGTGCCACAGCAGGGCAGCTTGTACTGGCGCTTTGTCTGCACGAG